GCAAGACGAGCCAGCCTTGAAGGTGCCACAGAACGACGACTCCACCAAGTGCTTAGCGCACTGTGAGCCAGAGTGTAAAAACGTCGAGGTGCCACCGCATTTGACGGTAAATATCCACATTCGATATTGTTTTACTTCTGGTCTTAAATTCGTTATTGAGTTCCATACGATGTAATCGCGCGTCGCCACACCTTATGAACCATTACATGCAAATCCGCCAGGCTATTACCTCCTAAACTAATCTCTCTTTTTCCTTTCTTGCCAGGATCCTGCAAACTTCCAAAAATTTGAAGACAAACCAATCAACTGCGTGCTAGCTTCAACAGTCGTGTTCAAGAGGAAACCAAAATACCAGTGCCAGTACTTGGGCCTGTACCTGTTCGACTGCTGCCGCGCCTGCAACGCCAAACACGCTAAATGCCTGAACTTACTCGGAAGTTTCTACGGAGGCCCAGAATTCTGTTACAGGGACAACTACAAGTGCATGTGCAAGTGTCTCGATAAACACAACCCACCAGAGAATTATTATCAAATCGAGTAAAAAACAGTAAATGACTGCTCTAACACGCGGGTACAGCGAGCTCTGTAAGCGGACCAAAATACTAGTGTAGAGTGAAACGCTATATCATTTCTCTACCGAGACAGTTTTTTGATATTGTTGTAAGTTTAGTTTAGTTTTTGTATGCCCAGTTGAATCTCCGAAAGCTTTCCGAAGTTTGTATGAAAGTTTGTAACTAATGAACGAAATAAATGTATTAATTGAAAAAAATATAGTGTGATTAATTTTGGTGTCAACGAACAAAAAGGCGACCCACTTCTAAAAACTTTATGCACCTCCCACTTTATCTCCCCAGCGAGAGGAAAAAATACTCTTGATAAAATTTCAAAGTCTCAGGGAAAGAAGTTAGAAAACCGCATTAGTTTTTGTTCAGACTCTTCAATTTCTTCTTTCTTCTTATAACTGCTCAATCTCTTATTAGTTATGCTAACAAATTCATAGTCCTTGCGCACTTCACTCAGATACTAAGTCTCCAGGCCAGAAAATTCACTGCAAAGCGTCTTTCACGCTTTGAAAATAAAGTAAACAGTGTCTAAGTGAAACTGGAAAAAGAAATGACTACAAAATAGAATAAGGAAGCCACCAAAACGAGTTAAAAGAGTTTTAATAAAGAGTAATTACTTTGTTTCCTTTATTCCTACTAAAACAATACAGCTTACATGATTGAATTTTACTGAATAATAAAATACATCAGATCACATAGCGTATTGTTGTTAACAGCCGTGTTTTTGTTAATGGTGGATAATGGCTAAACAAACTTGTACTGGCGGCATTTTGGGCCAATACAGAACCTTACGAGGCAAAATTTAGCCTTATTAGTCCTTATCTGACCGTTAATTTTTCCGCTTTGGTATGAAGTGGATAGATTTCAATTACCTTGCCGAAGGTGCTTGCTAAACAATGTGATACTTTGCTATCGAAAGCCTGTTCTTGAATTCATTCAATGACTTTAATTATACCAGGAATAACTCCAACAAAACAACCAGTGAAGCAAAAGAATAAAAATAAAGTCATTAACTAGAATACTCAAGATCAGGCATGCAAGCAGCTCAAAGCCCAGATGATGCTAACAAAAAAATACTGATAATTTAATTAAGTAAAAAAGAAATTTGCTCAATATTGAATGTAGTGCGGTTTGTCAAGTGTACGCGCAAGGAGCGTGGTAGGTGAATAACATGTCAGGTATTAAGGGGGCTCATAACGACATAATAAAGGATTAAATGTTTTTTGTTAACTGGCCAACTGATTGCGGAAAAATTAACGGTTCTGTAACTTTAGTGAATGAAACCATTGAATATAACATCGTAAATACTGGCCTACACGTTCACGCAAAAAAGGGCACTCTTGCAAAAACAGGAAAAAATTCCGATGGACAATAAAATGTCTTATCTTCAAAACATTGAATTTTAGCTATCTTTCCTACAAATTTACTGCTAAAATCTTTCACGATCGCACCAACACGCCCTGTTCTTTTTGACTGTTACTATAAAAGAAAGCGATTTGCCACCAGACAAATCCAACGTGCTTTAAATGAACCCGTGCGTGTACGTGCCAGACAAGACAAACTTGCCAACTGACGTTACACGTGCATGATTCAGCCAATTAGAATTCTCAAGGCAACGAATCAAAAACAAACTGCAAACAATCCAAGCGTTTGATTTTCCGCTTTCGTGGTATAAAAGGTTTTTACCCACCTATCTTCGTTCAGTGTACAAGTGCTGTTTCAAACAGAGTTCTCGCTCGACACTTCCTTCAGTGCCAAAATGAAATCGTACTTGTTGGTCTGCTTAGTGGCTGCTGCCATCATGGCCACACAAGGATACAGGCACAGTCATATCCAGGAGTCGCATCAGTTCCAAGATGAAGCCCTTAGTGCGTTAGATAACATGGAAGATCCAGCGTCCGGTGCTCCACCACAACCACCACAGCCACCACAGCCACCACAGCCACCACAACCACCACCAAACCCTCACGAGTGTGACTGTAATGGAGTTTGTCGTGACCTTCATGAAGATCGTCTCCCAAAGGAAATCCAGGTCAGTACAACACAAGCCGAAATAACCACATTGAAAACCAAACAGTTTGAAGTACGAGGATCCAAGCTTGAAAACGATATCAATTTATTAAGTGCATTTATTAAGTTTAGCATTCAGAAAGCGATTTTCGAGGACATAACGCTTAAATTGATATTCTTGTGTCTTTTTTTTTTAGGACAAGCACAATTATCTGAGCTACGAGAATTTCCCAGTATTGTGTCGTGATGCAGCCTCCATCTATCTGCCGCCAGAAGAACAGGACAAACCCCAGAAAAAATACGTCTGCAAGCAGACCTTCGACTGCTGCCGTTATTGTAATGCGCTGTTTTACAGATGCGTGGATAAGAAGTCCAACACCTATGGATTCTGCATGCGCGGAGCATACAAATGTATGTGTCAGTGCATTGATAAGAGATCATACCAGGAACTGCCTTACCCTACGCCCCCACCAACCCCCCCAGCCCCCCCAGCCATCCCCTAAAGTGACTAATGTCGCCATGAATATTGTTATACTAGCTTTGCAGAGCTGTTTGCAGACCTGAATTCTAAGCCTGTAGGAGATTGATTCATTTTGTTTTGCTGTAGTCGACAGCCATAGTGATGTAAACAGGTTCAAAGTCATGTAAACTACTAATAAACATCCTTAAAATGAAGTATTTGATGTTGTTCTTTGTTGATCTATAGATTCTCCCCAGCCTTCCATCATTTTTTTCTCTCCGCCTTTATTTTTTGCGATAATAACCCACACTTCTGTCATTTCCAATTCGAAATTTTCTTTTATGTTCTCAATGCGAAAATTAAGTTACACAGCGAAGAGTACTTTTGAAAGATTTTGATCTGTTCTGTGATAAAAGCTTAAACTTCCATCTTGACATTATCACAAAAAAGTAATAATACTCTTGGTTGCAGATTAAGGTTTGTTGTTTGTTATAGACACAGCTTAATGAACAAAATCAGAGGAAAATACTGCACAGTAGCTTTCATCTGATAGGTCTTGTCCTTGACTAGAAGTTCAAACCAAATTAATTGACCCGTATGCGGTTGAATGGAGTTAAACTCGACAACATTCTTCTGTCCTAAAGTTTTACCGATAACAAGTTGTTATGCACTAAATTCGCTGAACCGGAACAGCGCTTTACCAAATACAAAGTGCTTTAATTTGTACGCTGTCGTGCATAGTGATTAGAAACTGAGGCGAGGTCATTCCAATTCATTCTTAAGGGGATCAAGGGATATTTTCCTGGTTTACTAACAAATTGTCATTACACTAAATAAAAAAAAATGTGTGGCAAATCAAGAGGAGTGTGAGTTTTGAACTTAGGAATAGACTCCGCGTAACTACTTAAGCATGACCTGGTCATGGTTATTAAGCACCAATTCAACTCTCACGAATTAAGAACAGCGGGTCCATGTTGCTAGCTCAAGGCTTTGTTTCACAACCCAATATTAACCTAATATCTGCTACGAATTGAACTCCGTTTGCCTATTAGTTCCTTCAATAATAATATTCTTTTTCTGTTAGAAATAACTCTTCCGTATACCTGGTATACCATGTCCTTTCCCGGTGAATAGTTCTTGAAGTTTTTGATACAAACAGAATGCAATAGCTTGGTTGTCCTATTTCAGTTTTGCCGCGCCCAACAACCTTATTTACGTTCTTTCGATGGATTATAAAATGACCTTTGTACTGAGAGATACACTTGTTTTATACTCACATGATTGAACAGGCTTACCACGATTCATTAAGTTCAAAAGTCTCCCCACATGGAAGGAAACACAACAATCGGTAGTGTTTTGAATATCACAAGATCTCACATATGTCGAGAAATGACCACAATATTTGACAAATCGATTTTCCATGTTGATGTTATCAGAGGGACGATTTGCATTCGGATTTATACTAATGTTTAATACAGTGTACGCTTAAATTCAAGACGGTAGCAACAAAATTGAGATTTAATATTCACAATATCAGCTTTTATCTACGATGAATGTTTCTCTCTTGTTGGTGAAAATAATATAGCACGGTAATACACACGCTTATAATTTTACAAGGTGTTATTTATTTAATTTTTTTTTTCTGCTTACCTGTATCGCCTTGCAATACCGTACACGTGAAATTAAATAAATTTTAAAAGATCAAAGCTTTGCGGGATCAGTCAAGTTTCTTGATAATCATTAACACCGATTTCTACATTTCAAGGTCATGAATTATTTCTGAACTGACTTTCGCTCCATAAAGCGTTTATTACCGTTAGCTCACCATCCGTGAACCACTATTTGGGGTAAACTATCTTTAACGCAGTCGCCAGCACACCTGTAAGCTAAGTCCAAGCACTGCACTACGCTTCTAGTAAGAACACAGCTGTAATATTCCACGTTACATCTTCGACAACAAAAGAAGAAACAGCCGGCTAAGTAAGGTTCATTCTCGATGTCGATTGTTCCACTTTCTTTGCAGAAAACTGGTTTGTTCTCAATCCACATTAGTTGCTGAAATAGAGTGTTAACAAAAGACCGTTAAATCAATTTGCTCAAAACTTCGCAAACATTCTAACAAACAAAAGTCTATCGGAAAGCGATATGAATTTGGTTTTATCGAATCGTGTGCTTTTGGAAATCTAACACAAAGCAGGTAACAGCAAAGATATTGTTACTATTTAAAATCGACTCCAGGATTTGCTGTTTTCTTGGTAGTAGAAATTCTACTGCAAGAAGGTCACCGTGAATCGAAATTTGCATCTCTACTCACCTCAAGTTCGGAGCTCTCAGGACCTAGACAAAAATTGCTACAGTCGCATGTTAAGTCTTCTTGCAAACGTTTTTTTGGTTTCACTGATTCAAGTGAAATCTCTCGACTCTCTTTGCGTTCTAGTTTCAAGTTTTCCACATTAATATTTTCATCGTACCAGGCTTTTGTAATTTCTGGAAGGACCAGTTTGCGTGAACTTCTGCTCACAACTCGCTGTAGTTGAACGAGAAATACCAGAGATGAAAACACCCGAACAGCTAACAAATTCCTCATGGTCCATTTGCCGACTACATGACGAAAGTCCAGTCCAAAAATTCCAAAAAATATTGATACAATAGTCAAAAATACACTTACAACTCACGTGCTAGCGCGAACCACACGTCGAAGGCATAACATGTGCACAGTTGAACAGTTTTTCCGCCTTTAGAATTGATTTGTGCAAAACTCGATCAAGTGAAACCGACCACCGTAACCACCTTTAAACTGCTAATTTTTTTTTTTTTAATTTTAAAAAAAGACACACTCTAATTCTGTGCTAATGAGGTGTGACCTTCACCGGGCTGGTTTTGTAGATCACTGCTATGCACGCAATTGCATGCAGGTTTCTATCGCCAATAAAGTTGAAGAAATCCAACATCTCTATCAAAATAACACCTTGATTGTGATTTTTTTCTGCAGTGTGTCGTTGGATTGTCGCATAATTTTACAACCCTTATCTCGCTTCAACCAAAACAAACCCCTTGAGAATAAAGACTTTAGTCAACCGAGACAGAACTATTTGCACAATCAGTGACCCGTGCCTAGTAAATACTATAAACGTGTTCATTTAGTCGTAAAAAAGATAAATGTTGCCCAACATGCTGTTTTGACCTTAATGATACTCTTGTAAAAATTCTTCATTAACTCTTTGCAGTTCCGTCCAACTTTTCTCTTCCGCTTAACGGAAACTTACTCAAGCCAGGTTTTGTGGGGTGTAGGGGGTAGTTGCGTGGCTGTTGGGGTTGTTTGGACAGAATTGGGAGGCACTGATTTCAAATCGCAAATCAACAGTACACAGAAAAGCATAAGTAGATGATTGATTGATGTTCACTTTGTTAAATGACACGTGCCCACAATAGATGAAAAAAAAAACCTTTAGAAAAGGAGGTTTCGTAATCACAATTTGTAATCACAGTTGGATGTTAATTACGCGCGAAACCTACAAATGAACCTTGATCAATCATAGGCATTAGTGGACCATTTTACCACCGTTTTTGCACCAAAACTGATAACGTTGCTTTTCGATTTGCGACGTCGGAATGTCGTCGATATCTAAACCTGACCATTAGCCTAGTACTACTATCTGCTTATCAAGAATATCTGATGACATTTAAATTGATGACGTCGCAAGTGGTACAAAGAGTACGACCATTAATTGCGCATATATATATATGCGTAATTGGGGCCTAAAGGGTTAAAACAGCACAATACTTATAAACTAAGTGAAGCAAATATTTGGTAATAACAGCGCACTTGAAAGTCAACTTTGGCGTATATATTGGCAGCAGCCGCGCGTACCAGAGAACAATTAACCGAAAGCCAATATTGTTCCTTTAACCCTTTGAGCCCCAATTACGCATATATGCGTAATTAATGGTCGCGCTCTTTGTACCACTTGTGACGTGTAATACATAATTTTCACGCCAACAAAGTTACAACTTGCGACTGTAAAAAAGGCCGAAGAAGCTTTGGTAGTTTACATTAAATTGCACATAATAATAAGGACAATTACTTGGATAGGTCTACGAAGGCATGAAACTGTCAATAACAGCTGGCAGATATATTTCCCTATGACAAAACAATTGTACTTTGTGATACAGAGTTTCATGATGCGCTTACATGAAGTTGTGTCGCGTGTGGCCTTTGCGAAGCTAGGGGAGAGGAGAGTGAGGAGCGAAGCTCTAACTCTTTTAAACAGAGTCTAGTTCTTACCAAATTTGGGTATTACGTTTATTACGACTAAAGACGCTTTAAAAATTGTTTACATGTATTATATGACAATAATTCAGCCGAAAAAATCTAAGACAACGCGTGGAATTTTTCGATGCAAAATTAAATTATCATACCCACATTAATGTCCATTGTGACTTGTTTATTTTAAGTTATTCTGACTTAAATTGTTCTTAGCAAATTCTTAAAAATCTATTCAGTGTGTACCTATATATATTCATTATGTCAAGAAAGAGTATGGATTCAAACATATTCGAAAATATTTTGGTCTCTCTTGACGAACACATGAAAATGAATTCCTAAATATTTAGTGACTGCAAAGAATTGCCTACAAATAACGGGACATTCTTGAACGAGAAACATTCAAACGTTGTTTAACAACATCTCTTAAGACTGATGCCTTTAATACATTTTCATAAGCCTTCACACGTGAATATTTTTGCCAATCAAGTTCAGGCAGGGTATAAATTTTTCTACATACAAACTCTTCATGTAATATTTTACATACGTACAATTTCAACCAGGACATATACAATTGAACTTCCTATAGACTGTGACTGTAATCAGAGTCGTTTGGCCCCAAGAGAGAAACTCGGCTAGTTTACATATGGTTGCTTACATCAGATTGTCGCTTTGCGAAGTCAGTCCAACTGTATAATTACTCCTACATCAATCACAGGCCAAAAATATCCCAAACAATTATAGTTCTTACATTTCGTTTCTCACACGAAAAGCTAACAGCATTTTTGGAGCACTAATGACTCAGTCCACATTCCGTTCACACTGTCCCACAGCACGCCATTCATGTGATCACTGGAAACTAGTTCCCAGGTCTTTTAGTCTTCACCCAACATGTCTCCATCTCTGGACTCGGGTTTGTCTGCTTTGCTAGTGACGTAATCCTCTCGTAACTTGTCCAACTCGGCAAGTTCACGCTGCGAAAACATGCAAACATTCATATTAGCATCACGTTACGATGAAGTGAGATCATGACTACTGTATTGCAAATTGATCAGACTATAATTTCTTCTAACTAACTAGCAAAAATCCAGGCCGAGAGATTAAGAGAAGAAAGACATGATCGTCTTGGAATAGTTCTCGGAGCTCTTCGGGAATCTTCGCCAGTATCCTTATCCGAACATTTCCGATCACCCTCTGAACACTTAGAATTGAAGATTGTCAAAGAGACGACACACCTTGGTAAGTAAAAACGTGTACACCGCCGTAATCTACCAACTTACCTTCACGATATCCATGTGATAAGCACGTTTTGTTCGGATCTTCTGCATCGGGAAAGGGTTCAGCAACTGGAAGGCAATCTGAATACAAAGCACATAATTCAGCACATAATTTAGTACAAAGCACATAATTAAGTACATAATTTAATACAAAGCAAATAGTTTAGTACATAAGTTAGTACTTCAGGCTGGGAAGTTAAACAAGGTGTATTAAAAAAAAAACTGCGAGCCACCTGACCGATATCAGCTCATAGTTTGTTATTTGTATAATACAGCATCAGCTTAGGACCTCTTGATCATAAATGAATGGGTAAATCTAGGGAAAATTGACAACGGCGATGCCATACCAAACTCTCAATGTTAGTACTAACGAAATACATTGGAATTAGTTGAAAGAATTCACATTCTGATCTTATAGGACTGACCTGAGATAAGTTGTTTGCGTCTGTGACTTTTTCCGGCATCTGTCTCAGGAAGTTGAATATGCTCATGTGGTCTTGACACTTAAGAAGTTGTTCTTCACTGCTCTTAAAGACGGCCAGAGCAAACCGGAACAAAACCTGGAACACACGCACAAGAATAAAGAAATTGCAACATTTAGAGAGGAAGCCAGATCAGTCTTAGCTGGTTTTCATGGCTGGTGTTCCTCAATCCTGGTTGAATTGGAATTTGGAGTGTTTGTTTTTGTGTTGCATGGGAGTAAAACCGGAGAACCCGGAGGAAAAACCCTCGGAGCAAGGCGAGAACCAACAACAAAATTAACCCACATATGGCACCGGACCGGAATGGAACCCGGGCCATATTGGAGGGAGGCGAGCGCTCTCACCACTGCGCCATCCCTGAAACCAAAATTCCACATTCGCGACTCACTCTGGAAGGCCGAAATAAGTATTACTGTTTGTGCAATTGAGAGGCCAACCTCCTCACTATTAGGATACTGGAAAAGTAAGACTGTTTAACGCTAATTGACGTTGTTATAGCAATATAACAATTTGTTGACGCTGTTATGGCAACATCAAGATTACGGCAATTTAACAGGCTTCCTGTAATAGTTGGATTTACTTGAGAAATAGTTCTGACTTAACCAAAACTCACCTTGTTTCCCTCAAAAAGAAAAGTGTCCCAGACTCGAAGAGTTGACTGCAACAAGAAAGTGTTGAATTATCACGTGCCCAGTATTGAAACCATGAATGTCAACCGGAAAATCACATCAAAGCTTTTTAAAAGTAAAGACTTATTGACTGCAAATCACAAGACACATGGCTTAACAAATTTATACCAAGAACACCTCTGGTACACAACATACCTGCACTGGAAAACTATCCACGAAAATTGTTAAAAACCAGTTGAAAGACACCAGTGACAAGTCCACACTGCCAATCAAACAAAACCAACAGATAAGGGAGCTCACAACCACTACAGCAAGAGAGAGAGGACTTGGAAACAGAGAGAATTATCATCATTATCAATAATTGTATGTTCACTTTTTACAGAGAAAGAGTAAACTATCATTTCTTTAAATAAAAAATTGGGATACATGCTTTATCCATCTACACAACCTCACTTATCTTTGTGTTAAATCATAGAATTATTTACAGCTCTCGAGAGTGATCAGCTTTCATTTAATCAGTCCTGGAATAACTCGGCAACTGACCGGAAAACATGCAACAAAAATAATCAGTTTACGAATATTGTCCTGATGTAGTACCGAGTTCTCCGAACTAACATATAACAAGAAATGTACGACAGTCAGTAGGGAGAATTACCGACTACATCACTGACATACTTGAGAGCGTCAAAGTGAGCGCTAAGTCGTGGTAGTTTTTCAGCCAACAGATCTCGGAGCACTCTCTGATCCGCCTGTGATGCGATAAGTGTTTTGGAAAAGTAATCTCTTGGTAGAAGATGTTCAACAATGGCTACTAAACACCTGCAATGAAGAAGAGGGTCATAAATTATTAAAAAAAAAAAGCGCACTGAAAAAGAAAAACACGAACTATTTCCCGTTACGTGCAAACGAAAACAAAGGCAGGCTGGTAAAAAACAGGGAGAGAGAGAAAAAGAGAGAGGAGTTCTAAAAAGAACAAATAACAGCAACAATGTCATTGCTATCATCAATGTCGACAACAACAAAAGCTCAAAAAAGAAATTTGAGAAGATGGTAACTCACCAAAACGATTCTTCTTCGTTAAGATAAAGTAAAGCAATGGCAACCAGACGGTTCAAACCCTTTGAAGTAAAATCACAAAGACAGTTAAGGGAGAAAATAAGAAACTGGTAAGTAGCAACGTTTCCTTACCTGGCAATAACCAACATGAAGATTATGCCAACTGTAAGCCAACAGAACTTCCCTTAGTTTAGTGGTCTGCGGAAATACAACAAAATGTTACTACTTCCCCAAGCACAATACAACAACACGTGAAGCAGGCAAAATCCGCTACGCTACAAAGCAATATGACCTTGAGATTTCTGAGTTGATAATTGATGAGGCCGTAGAAAACGGGGACGAATAATCTTATTGTGCTAGGAGAATTTTCTAACTTAATCTTCATTCAAACAATGATTTCCAATTATCTCTCTACAGCGCACTCATCACTTTTTCAACAATTTCGAGATTGCAGAATCGCATAACGGTAAATGTTCAATAGCTCAGCCAATCAGATTGTAGCATTTGCATTAATATACAATAATATACAATAACATAAAATTCCACTTATTCAACTATCAATGCTTGTTGTTTATCCAGTAATACTGGCTCACCCCGTCAGCGTCCAGGTTGTCGTAATGTTTGTTATTTGGTAATGTTCGTAACAAGTCTAACTCAATCTGTTTCACAGCTGGGGAATGTTTTCCTTTCATGTTCTCCAGCAGATGTGCATAATAGCCATCACCCGCTAGATTCCTGGTTTCTTGTACGCACTGGTCAATGCAGTATTTCCATATTGTAGCACGATGCTCGTGTGGTACACCAATTCGAACAAGCGCTTTCAGTTCGGGCTGAAACAACAAGTAAATAATACCTAGTTACAATAGGCAACGAAGACGAATACTGTAAGCCGGGCGCCGGTAATCAAGAGAGAGAGAGAGTAAATTATCTACACTCACTGTTTTCTGTAATTCTCTATTCTTGTGAGCTATCATGAAGTTTTCCCACTTCACTTCCACGGACATCTCATGGGAGCTTATATTTGCCTAAAAGAAATTATGACACTTATAAGCGATGCATTTCTCTGATGAAAAATGCACAGTCGGATTGCTCAGCCCAGTAGCTCGTCAAGGTCAGTGTTGGTGGCGGAGGCAGCGAGGCCGAGTGGATTGGACGCCGCACTTGAAATGTGAAGGTCGCGGGCTCAAGTCCCGCTCTGACCATTTAGTTGGAGTTGTTTCTCTGTAGACCCTAGTTCAACTCCTCGGTCATGTTTGTAAATAGCCAACTGGTCTGCCTCCCACCAGTTGGGATATTTAAGCCTACTATGTTTATTTGCGTTGTTTCTGTCTTTCAGTTTAAGTGGCATGCCTGAGAACTAGCAAGCTAGGTGTAGCTAAGCGCATTTGACCACTCAAACATTCAATTTTTTTTCAGGTTTACCCATCATTGGTCCGAAAGTCCTAAAAATGGCGGCCATACCCATTTATACTGCTGGATTCAGAGAAACCGCACTATGATAGAACAGTGTGTGACCCTAGAACATTCACAGAAAAACCCGCCTAAGGTCCTAATGCCGAGGGGTCTATTAATATACCAACGCATTGAGCATTAAAATTTCTTGCATCATGTGTGATTGCAGCATTAAAGAATGCTATTTTCAGAAGATTTGTTTACCCTGAGTTCCTCTGATCGTCTGTCCATCTTCTTGGCCATTGACAAGAATGCCTCTTCATCTTCACCTTCTAGATTTTGTCTGAAGCCCCAGCGGTCATATGGCTGGATACTGACACAAAAAAACAAAGCAGTTCTACACACCTCACAAAATGAATTCAACAAAATAGAACGAGAACCACCAGACCTACTGGCTTTGCCAACAAGACGCAAAAACCTAAAACATGTTTATCAAACACAGCGGATTCCACGCTCATAGCAAAACTTGATGATCTTTTGGATTGTTATTCAACATTGTGGACTTCTAAAGTTGTTACGTCATCATATCCTGTCTTGTTGCTGAGCAACGACGCTAACAAAAAACGCGCGCTCAGTTATTTGGCAGGTTCTAAACTCGTCTGTACAACACTTCATGTAGTGTACACTGACCTGGACCTGGACATCGTCAACACCTCACGTGACTCGCTGTCAATAGCGTCTTCCACCAGTCTACTGATAACTTCATCATCCATACCCCAGTTCTCACCATCTGCACACAGCACACAATTACGTATTGACTGATTAATAACTGCACAATTACATGAAATAGACAAACTCTTCTTTGATTTTGAGGGTGTAATAAAAACGTTATTTGTACAGTGGAGGTATAAATATAGCTTTTATTACCTTTTCGTGGTTTCTGGAATTCTCTTAATACAAGAAAGTACTTGCTTTTGCATTTACACATCTCGGCTTCAATGGTGGCCAGTCGTCTGAAAAATACCAAGAGAAGTTCAACTCAAGCGCTGACAAGGATGTACATTGAATTTTTACACAAAAAAATTAAAGCTGCCACTAGTGGTCAGTCTAAGAGGCATTTTACTGTATCATTGAAATGGAGTATTGGAGGGAAAGGATAGAAAAATGCTTATAAGTGAAGGGGTTTATGTTGCCATTAAAGAGCAATCGGGCTACAAAAGTTTTTCGTCCGCTTCTTTTCCAAGAAATTCTGTTCTGTAGAACCCTGCTCTATTTAACACCGGCAGGAATTGACAATCGTGTGAATACTTACATGGCCTGTGCTCTGAGTATCTGACTGTCGTGTGCCCTGAGCTTGTTAAACTCCAGAATCTCACTGTTCAAGAAGCGATTTTGAAGCACATAAGCTTGGCACGCTTCCTAAGTAGACAAAAAAAGGATGAAACGATAAGTAATTGGAGCGAGTGGAGTACAATCCAATCGCGTGAGTAAATTTAAAAAACCAAAGGCAAATATGTCAACTTCAGAAGCCGTTTGAAACAATCCTACTGGTAATTACCTTAAGTTTTCCTATTTCTTGTATTTCATCAATGCTTCTCTCTACAGACGAAGGGTCCGTGTCTTTGCACGGAGCCGTGCTGCAAGAAAATACGCGAAAAAGAATCTTACAATGCTCTATCAGTGAAATAAGCTGTTTTCTTTTGATGTTAGTACCGTAATTAACGTAGCATATCAGAGCTTCAATATGCAGAAAAGAAGTTCTCTCACCTTCACGGATTTCAATCAATTGACAGCAAGTGGTCATTTTTACTCCATTTTTCCCGTTTCAGTTGGATCTTACTAAGGTAGCAGCCTGAGCGAATGATTAGAGTGCTGGACTGGACATGCGCAGGACTGCGCAAGTTCAAATCTTGTTCTGAAACCCAGTTGGATTTGTTCTCGGTAGACTTGAGTTCAGCTCCTCGGTCACGCTTTGTAAATAATCGACCAAGTGCCTAATCTTCTGCCAGGCGTGATTTTCTTTACGATATTTGTGTCATAAATTGTTGACATAAGTCCAACAAGCCCCACTGCTTTACTCTTTACTTTACGTTACTTGCTTTATTTTATTATATTATTTATATGTATCTTTGTTCCTTCAGTCGAACAGGAGATATATCTCAAAGGCCAGAGGTACTTTTTTCTTACTTTTCAATGGCACCATCATCTTCTTCATCAAACTCTTGTACTTCTACTCCTTCAACAGTGGACTTCTCTAACGCGTACAACTAATAACGACAACAAAGCACTCAGGCAAGATTTTGTGAGCTGAAAATTGTCATGTTAGCTCATGTTCTTCAAATGGTTTCGCCATTAATCTCTAATCAATAATCTTCCAATGCATTGAACTACGATATCTATAACACTGATCAAGAACTAATGGAATACTTTACAGCCCTAACGGATTTTACCAATTTGCAGTCATTGTTTACCTGGTTAGTGAGTGAGACCACAACCTGGTCCTTAACAGCAGTCATCTCCTGGTACATCTGAATTTGGTCCCTACACTCTCTCAGCTCCTTATCGTTGGCCCTGAAAGGGAAATGATACATCGATCACAAACAAACAAGTAAACGACAAAAAGCAATTGATCAGTACAAAAAACAAAAAGAACAACAAAAGGAAAAACAAACTCTATTTTCAACCGCGCAGTTATCAGACTTATTAATTAAGCTCTAAATGTGTTTTAAGCAAGTAGCTGTAAACAAGCTCGGTGAGAAGTAAATAAGTATCATAGGAACACTTTATAAATGAAACTAACATGACTGTTCGTGACATTTTAATTTATACTTACTTAATAACTTTATCAGACTTCTCAAGCTCCTCAGTCAATTCCTTCAACCTCTCCTCAAGCTTCACATTCAAGAAAACGAAAAAAAAGTGTGACAAGATATAAAACGGCAAAATAAGGAACAAATGTACTAATTTAAAATAATAGAGTATTGTTTTGGCGACCGATTGGAGTTCATGTCTGCTCCGTTAATGTTTGCAGTCTGCCATGATTCGAAAGTTTTTCGAACTCGAATAGCTCCTTTGTTAGTTACACTGGCATTGTCAAAATCAATCAAATGGTTGTTGGACTGTGACTGGACAGAAAGACCCACGTTGTTCAAGACCCACAGAGACATCAGATAGTTCCTCTTGCGAGTCTTTGCAAATTATCCTTCGCAGGTATAAAAACGGCCATTCTTAATAATAATAATAATAATAATAATAATAATAATAATAATAATAATAATAATCGATATTTAAACAGGGTGACCCCTTCAGTCGCAAACCAACCTGTGAGATGTAAATTAATTTGTCTTTCATTTCTTCTGAAAGCGATCTCTGTTCTTCGTCTGAACTTTGTGTTCTAGGAAAAAGAAAACAGTCATTTGATTAACTTCGATATCCATTACACAAGAAAAGCAGAACACTTAAAGAAATCTCGTTCACCCGGCGTCACATACAATTTGTCTTTGTGTGTTGAGATCTTGTTGTTCGTGCAGAATATTTAACACCAAAAAAATTCAACGACATTCGGCCAGTGCAAACGATTAACGTGTCTGTACACAAGCATTCCTGATCATTCTTGGGCGTTCTCTATTATAAAACTACATGTACCAATAGTGTTTAAGCTAACCTTTTGCTTTTCTCCAGTTCAAATTGTCTGAAAATAAAGCAACATTTTCATAAGTGGTAGAATCAGCCATTTCAAAATATACCCGCAAACTGCCGCTTATAAAATGTTACTTCCGAATAAAGCCTCTCCCCCCCCCCCCCCC